GCACCGGAGTTGGCCAAAGTTCTTTACGTCGGTTGGATTCGAACCAAGGGTTACCCCAACGAAATCGTCTGCGACAGCGACACTCGGTTCACGTCCGATTTTTGGTTGGCGCTCATCAAACGATGGGGTTCATCTCTCAAGCCCAGTTTGGCTCGCCACCCCCAAACCGATGGCCAAACAGAGAGGGTGCATCACACTGCACAGGTTCTCCTTCGCACTCTCATCCATCCCAACCAAAAGGATTGGGTTGAGCGGCTGCCGGATGTCGAGTTGGCATACAACTCGTCCATCCACCCAGCGATCGCGATGTCGCCCTTCGAGTTCGAGCACGGCTCGCAGGTCACTTCTCCGTTGGACACTCATTCCACGAACGGCCGAGAGCGACGACCATCTCTTTTTCTTGCGTCGGATGCAAGAGCTACTTGTCAAGGCACGTGACCAGATGGCTAAGACGCAGCAACGCATGAGCCAACAGGCCAATCGCCAGTGTCTTCCTTCTCCATTCCGAGTCAGCGATCTCGTTTGGGTTTCTGCCGCGGAGTCAACCTCTATCAAGATATCTCTCGCAAGCTCCTCCCGAAATGGATGGGGCCTTGGTCGATCGTGGCACCCGTTGGGGATGCACCCGAAGGACCTTCCTTCATCATTCAGGTGCCCGCCCACTTGCCCGTCTACCCGGTCTTTCATTGCTCCAAGTTGGCTTTTTACACGCGAGCGGACGATGACGATTTTCCCGGGCGACGATCGCAAGACCCACCCTCTATGGACGGTTTTCAAGAGGTCGGCGACACCATCTCCCAGCGACGCTATGGCAACAGGCCGACCGAATACTTGGTACACTTTGCATACTACACCCACAAAGCCGACCGTTGGTTGACCCGTGTGGAACTCCAAGCAACAGCTCCAGATGTTCTCGCACGCCACGAACGTAAGATGCAAGGCAAGCCGGTATCTTCGACTCCACGTCACACCCGCGTCCAGGTTCCACCTTCAGATCGTCAGCTGCGCCCTCGACCCGGCTTGACTTCATAAGGAGGGGGGGGTGTTACATGCTGCGCCTGCAACAGGCTGCACGGGCCATTCTCAGGCCTGTGACATTTTCAGCCTGAAAGCCTGAAAACAAGGGCCTACAGGCCCTGTGTCGTTTCAGCCTAAAACAGGGCCCCCCAGGCCCTGAGTCTTTTCAGCCTGAAACGGAGGGCCATTTTCAGGCCCTCATAAGACCGGCCTGCCCTGAAACTTGGGCACCAGACCAGGGTTTTAGCACAGGCCATTTTGGGCCTGTTTTCAAGACAACCTTTGGTTGAGCTTCAACGCTAGGGTCTGGCACGTTTTGGCATTGGCAAGAGCAGCCTCCTGGACGGGCCAGCACTATATAGGACTGGCCCTCCCTGCAGGCTGCAGGTAGTTCATAGGGACTTCCCAGGCACTTCATGTGCAGTTCAGGAGGCAGGAGGTAGTCTTCAGGATTCGGCAGCAGTGCTACTAGCGTTAGCCGTAGTCTTCAGCGCTGGGCGCTAGTAGGAGCTAGAGTAGTACTGGAGAGAGAGAGAGAGAGATTGGGCGGAGGCCAGGGAGACTTACCTGCAGCGCCATAACTCCAGCTTCGTCTTTGAGGTACCTGCAGCACAGCGCCATCTTCACAGGTTAGTACCTGGCACATGGGACAGAGAGAGAATTCTTCTTCTTCCTCTTCTCAGTCCACCATCTCCCTCTCACCCTCTCGCTACCTGACTTCACTGCATCAGCAGACTACAAGAGAGCGGGATTGGTGACATTTGGATCCAGACTCGACATTGGGCTTCAGACATTTTGACAAGGGATTATTTGGGACTTGTAACGAAGACTTGGAGTTGACGACATTCCCATCTCCCCCCCCTCTTCTTCGTCTGATTCCCTCCTCTTCGTCTGTGCATGATCTGGACCTGGCGCATTCTTCGTGTGTGTAGCGCCAGGCCCCTTCACACCTTGCGATAAGGATGATGTATGTTTGGTCTGCGTTGCGACATTGATTGGGCTAGTCATTGGTATTCTAGCATTCTGCTGCGCTGTCTTGCACTACATGATAGAGGTCAGTCCCTGTCAGGTCAGGACTTATATCTAAGTCTTCCACTGCGCTACAGAGCACCATTTTTGTATGTATCAGGATGTACACTGCTTGTTGAGATTCCACTAGCACTGCATTGTCCATTCAGTCCTTTTCATCACAGTGCAGAACCTTGGTTATGTATGTACATCGCCCAACTGGGCATGTAACACTCTCTCTCTCTCTCTCTCTCTCTCTCTCTCTCTCTCTCTCTCTCTCTCTCTCTCCCTAGTTTTACAGACACACACAATCGTAAGCATGTAAATTTTCCTTCCTTCCTTTTTCCAAGTACTTTGCATGTGTCTAAGTGAGCACCTCTAAGCATGCTCAATAACCTATGTCTGTTTGTTTGGAGTGCCAGCAACACTATCCGGGGGCGGGGTGAGTGCCTGTTGTTCCTTCGGTGATGGCGGCTGACATTCGTTGTAGTGGCTTCCTGCCTTCGGAACCAACAGCCTGCAGTGTCCTACTTATGGTGTGAGTAGGTAATGGGTTGCTTTCGTCCGTCTTGGGTGTGTGCGCCGGTTCGTCTCTGCTGCTCTTCTGGTCCGCTACCCATTGGCTTGCTGCCGTTCTTTCAGAGCTGTTTGGCTTGTCGTTTGGCTGCCTTTTGCCTCACGGCCGTTGCCTAGCTTCCTTCTGACTTGCTTCCCTTTTTTGCCTCACTGATTTTCGCCTCTCTTGCCTTTTGCCTCACCGCCTTTTATCTCGTCGCCTTTTGCCTCGCCGCCTTTTGCCTTGCTGCCTTGATGCCTTGATGCCTTTTGCTTGCATGTGGTTAACCGGGGTTGTTTTTTCTTCTTTTTTTTTTCCCGAATTCTGCACTGAGACTGTCACATTGGCCACTTTCTTCTGCCTTGCACACTGTTTTCTAACTGCCTTTCCATGCGGTTTGTTCTACAACAACATCAAGATTCCTTGATGCCTCACCCTTGCCTTGCTACTCGTGTGGCTGTTTGTTCACTTGCAACAAGGGCGCCGTAAACTTCAAAGAGTTCATGACTCAAAGCATCAGTATGGGGATTTTGAAGACTGCTTTTGAGGTTTCAGGGTTCAGCCTCCTGACAAGTCGGTGCAAGTCCAATTACAGTTTGTCACCATCCACTTTGTTTTGTTTAGTTTGGTTCCTTCAACTCTTTGTGTGTTGTTTCAACTTGTTTGTTTTCAGTTCTGTACTTGATGATTTTCTAGTCATTCATTCTTTTGGATTTTTTGTGGCCGTTGCATGACATTTTTCTCCTTCCTTCCATCGGCACATCCGGCTGCGGGAGCTTTTGCAACTCATGTCCATCGCAAGTCGCTGCATCGCTGTTGCAGAGGTCTACACACACACACAGAGAGAGAGAGAGAGAGAGAGAGAGAGAGAGAGAGAGAGAGAGAGAGAGAGAGAGAGAGAGAGAGAGCATGACTTGATAGCAAATACTTATGCTTGGTGACCAAGCTGAATGCTGAACCGAAGCCCGGACGAGAACCTATACATGGAACCAAAGCCAGGACTCAAACAATCCAGGACTCAAACAATTGATGGTTTTCCTTCAGTCCTTCAGTAAGAAATGAATGTGCATGTTTGCTTAAGACAGAGGAGAGGAAAGAGAGGTGAGTGCCTGGAGAGGTCTTTCGCGTCCGATATCGACGATATATGCCTTACATGACGCAACATAAACCATGCCCTAAGAGCCAAACACAGGCTTTTTCTAAAAAGTAGAAACCACATACAGAAGAATGAGTGTGACTTAGAAAAAAGGGCTCCTGGCGACTTCCCGAGCTTATGCTAGGCGGTGGTGGTTGCTTCAAGTATAGGCAAGAGTAGCCACCTGTGGACTGTATGGCCGGCAACTGGCGGATACTTCAAATTATATAGGCCATAAGATACCCCTAACATGGGGCATGTGTGTTGTGTTGTGTCGTGTTGTATTGTGTTGAAGAAGAAGGAGAAGGAGAAGTACAAGAAGAAGCGGATACTTCAAATTATATAGCTCATAAGATACCCCTAACATGGAAGAAGAAGAGGAAGAAGAAGAAGAAGAAGAAGAAGAAGATAGCCCTAACAACACAAAAGCTCATAGGATTAATGACATGTAATGTATATGTATTATTATAATTATACTATTATCATCTAGGATACCAGCCGGGCCGCCTGGGTCACCCTATTTTACCGGGCGGGCCAGCCGTGCAAGGACCAGGGAAGGTCCTAGCAAAAAAAAAAAACTATGTTATGCAGAAAAATATTGCATCAGCGTCACATCGAAATTCTTTACCAAATTTAAAATAAAAAATAACATCAAATTTTATTTTTTATTTTTAATTTTTTTGGGGCCCGGTCGGGCAAGTGCTCCTCGGTCACTCTGGTAGCCTAGATTATCATAGTATTACGTACTATTAACTGTATTATGTTTTTTTTTTATAGATTTTTTAAAAACCTTTTTAACTTTCTTTTTTCTATTTCAATTTCAATTTAATAATAAATAAATAGTCAATATGACATTTGTAAGGTCTTCCACCTTTGCAGGAAGGAAAAACAGCACATGATAATATTGAGAGAGAACATAACTTCAAATTTTAAAATTTAAATAAAATCATTATTAAAATGTTTAAATTTTAAAATTAAAAAAAAATCATTATTAAAATGTTAAAACTTAAATTTAAAAATGTGCTCTTGTACGACTTGTACTCCTTTTTGCAGAGAGGCATTGCTGCAGGCCACAAGCCAGTTCTCAGATGTCCAAAACATCATGTTCCCCCCCCTTCTTCCCCCCTAAGAAATAAACATTTTTCCCCCTTTTTTCCCCCAAAAAATAAAAAATTTTCCTCCTTTTTGCCCACCCCCCAAAAAAAATCATGTTTCCATAGAATCATAGATGAGAGACTTACTGACCTGGCAAAGGGGGGGGAAAAAAAAAAAACGGCTACTGACCTGCAAGAGTTTATCAGCAAATTCGACCGCATCACTTGGGCCAAAAACCTGTGGCAAAAAAGTACACCACCCGAAAAAAAAAGAAAAAACGCAAATCCCTCCCGCCATGCAATATGAATCCCTCCTTCCAAAATCCCCCCCCTTTCACCTCCCAGCCCAGGACCAGTGAAGCCAAAACAGGAAACAAGAGAGGAAACTGATCAGGGTGCATAAGTTTCCTAATTTAGGGTTTGAATGTTTTGATTTTTCCCCTCTCTTCTCACCTCCTCGCTCTCCCCCCCCGCCTTCCCCGCGCTTCCCCTCGCCAGTCCTGGCTCCCATTTTATTTAGCTCAGTTATTTGTTTTCTTGCTGCTCTTTTTTTTTTTTTTTTTTTTTTTTTTGTTGTTGTTGGTTATGGGCCGGATGGACCACATATCAGATATTAAATTGTGAGTAAGTTTATCATTGCAGCCCAGTGATCTTTCCGCAGCCAGACGGAATCGAACCGGTGCCCTCGGCCATAACAGCCGGATGCCTTTACCACCGCATCGGTGACCCGGTGTTCAAAAACTGAAGCCATACCGGTCGCGGCTTTCAGCCCAGCCCCACACCTTACTTGTCACCACGCAGCATCCATGATCTCTTCCGCAGGCAGCAGCATCCATGCAGAATCGAAGACCATTTGCAGGTGCCAGTATCCACCCATACACCAGAATCCAGGTGAGCCTTCCCTGGCCGGTTAATGCAGGGGTCCTACACTGTGAGTAAGTTTATCATTGTACACCGCCCCCATCCTTCCACATCCAGACGCAATTGAACCGGCGAACAGGTCAGGAACAGATACTGAAGGGTCTTTTTTTCTCCTTCACAAATGCCCCTACCAAACCACAGAAATTATGAAATAAGTTCAAATAAGCCCCTGTTAGAGCGTTTCTGACTTGGCATCATTGTTTCAAAAACGTAAATTAAATTCACTTTGAGGTGTCCCTCCCAACATCTCTTCAAATCAGAACAACATTCAAAAGATTAGCATGGCCATTCAAAGACGGGACGCTAAAAAATCCAGAAAAAAAAGAAAAGAAACTTGGGAAAGAAAAACATTTTGAAATACCGGATGCGACTGCACCACGCCTACAAGTTTTCATTCTTAAGGTGCACCGATATATTATTTCAGACCTTGATTATGATGCGGTTCACATATCATACCGCAAACATGTCATATTATTCGGGACACACACTTACACACACACACACACACACACACACACACACTATGGTTGGATATTTGTTGGTTGTTTTTTATTCATACATGGCCTAATTCTTTGCCCTGCTGTAGAGCATGGGCTGTCTGTTGATGAAGGCATGTTTGTGGCTGGCTGGCCACAATTTTTTCGGGCGGGAATGGTTGTTTGGAGTCATGGTCACAATAGCTTCGCAAGGAGGCTCCGAGAGTCCTGGTGTCGCGTGAAGATCTTGTGGTCTAAGGGATTATGATATACTCTATACACTCCAGAGCCTAGACAACATGGGGACCGTCTAGCCATGGAGTGATAGAGCTAGTGGTGACGCGAGTGGGCCCTTTGGGAGGAATAGGAGTGCCAGTGCTGCTGTGCTTGTGGGCTGATTCACAGGGCTCTCCATGCGGTACGATCCGCAGGTACTCCTGACAACTTATTTGCGATGTCTGCCCACAGATGTTAAAAATAAGTTGGTCGATGAGGCCTCCATAGATGTGCATAACTTTGCCTCGTTCAGCAACAAAGCCCTAGACAGAAGACGCTTCCTCGGGATTGGAGGAAGAAGGGCAATCTCATGTTCGTTGACTATGACGGCCAAGCGACTGAGATTGACGACTTCTCTGACCTTGGGGAAGAGACAGGTAGATGGGAGTGGGGAGACTTCAGAGGGTGGAGTAGTCGCTCCCATTAGGGAAAAGACTAAGGGGGGCGGGAAACAGAAGGTAGGATGGCCCAAGCGCCAAGGTGACCAAGGACCACCCATACAGGCGAAGCTTGGTCAAGAGTACGAGGTGTGGCGAGACCGTGTTGCACGAGGCACTTGTCTCAATTGTGGCCAGTATGGGCACACAATGAGCAAGTGCAAGAGGACGCGGGTCGCTGGGAAGGTAGTGTCCTCAAATAGCGACAGTCAGATCTTCCAACTCTGGTGGTGCATCCGTGAGTACTTCCCAGAGAAACACCTTGGGCCAGTAGGAGTGTTAGCCGCTCTTACACGTGCTGAAGTGGTTACCTTACCCTCTCCATTTCAGACAGCGGCCAAGGCCATTGACCACCTGATCGCCCCGCAGACAAATCCAGACTAATCAATACTCTTTCGATGGATGTGTCCGAGTCCCTAGAGGAGTTAGAGACTGACTGGTTAGAGAAAGACCCTAGAGACTCCTGGCGATGTTGAACAAAGGTCCAAAGGGTGAACATTTCGTGCTAGAAGTCAATGTAGGTGGCCGAAAGGTTGTAGACTTCACAAACATAGGTTCTACGCGGAACTTCATCAGTCGTGCTATTGTGGATAGGGACGTAGTCTGTACCTTCACGGAGCAGCTTAGCAGGTCTGTAGCATCTACCTTAGCCAACAAGCACTCCATGATAATCAGAGACTACGCCAGGGACGTAGTCTGTACCTTCTCCTATGGAGGAGGGTAAAAAGTTGAGGCTGATCGAGTACATGAGCAAAAAGATGCCATCTCAAAAACTTGCTCGAAGATGCACTATGAGCGAGAGCTATGCCCTCAATAGAGCGCTGGTCCATTGGATGCACTACCTCCTAGGCAGATTCTTTTATGTGACATCTGACAATGAGACACTGCGCTTCATTAAGACACAGCCTGTGCTCTCGGACGCACTCAAGAGGTGGATTGAAGTCATAGATATGTATGACTTCAAGCTCGACCCTCTGAAGGAGAGTACAACAAAGTGGCTGATGCACAATCGTGCATGGTAGACTATCTAGGCGCACTAGTGACTGAGTTTGGGATTTTTGACGACTTAACTCGGTCTATGGTGGAAGCCTATTGAGAGGATTCCCTCATGGCAGAGATCATGCGCAAACTTGAGGCTAAAAATAAGGCCACATCGGGCGAGTTTGTGCTGGTTGATGGCTTGTTGTTCCTTGAGAAGGCCGGGCATAAACGGTTATGACTTGCCAGGTTTGTCAATGGGACAAGCCATAGATGCAGGCACCGCTTGAGCTTATTAAGCCCTTGCCTACCCCCTGCGGGTCCTGGTCAAAGTGTGTCCATGGACTTCATGGATACTCTTGTGACCAGTAAGAGCGGTAAAAATCACATCTTCGTCATTGTGGACAGGTTTAGTAAGTATTCCAAACTAATCGCTATGCCTAAGACAGCTAGGACTAACCACGTCATCAGGCTGTTCATGGACAACTGGGTACGTGACTTCGGTCTCCCGAAGTACATTGTTAGTGGCAGGGATGTCAATTTCACAAGCGAACTGTGGCGAAGTACAGCCCAACAGATGGGCACCCGATTGCAAATGACGTCAGGGAACCACCCTGAGTCAAATGGCCAGGCCGAGCAGATGAACCAGGTAGTGCAGCACTTGCTTCGGAATCATATTAAGCCAAGTCGGGATGACTGGGATGAGAAGTTACCTCTCATAGCCAGCCTGTACAATAACGTTGTGCATAGGACTACCGGCATGACTCCCAACCAACTGCATCTTGGTTGGAAGCCCAGATCTGCTCTTGATTTCCTGCTGCCCGAAAATCAGCCAACTGCAGCACCAGGCAGCATAGAGTTTGCTGTAACAGTGTTAAGTATGAACAGCCGCTGCAGAAGGCTGTCGAGCACATAAAGAAAGCCTAAAGAAGACCGGTCGTTCACAAGAGAGGAGTTAATGAAGACTGCTCCCCACATGATCTCAAGTTATGAAAGAAATTTGAAAGGGAAGCAGCCTGCTGTACAAGAACTTCTCAGGGAACCGTTGAAGTAACTGAAGAGGGAGTGAGAGGATTTTACCCCTCAGCATACCTGCATTAGGCCCCTGCAATGGACGCGTGCACGCCCTAAGCGAAGGCGGGCCCCTTAATCTCAATGAGCCCTCAATTCGTCAATTTTTGCAAATCCTGTTCGGCGCCAGACAGTTGCCTTGTGCCGGTTGGTTACGTCCGCCTTGCTCGTGAGAATCAAAAATAGTCGTAAGCCTTCCAGGCTCTTCCAGCAATGTGGTCGAAGCAGGGAACAACACCGTACGCTTGCACCTGGGTGGTTGGGGGCATGTCTAACCATTTCGATCCCAGGCCACTATCTGAACGGGCCTGAGCGCAGACACTCTGGCCCAATGGGAAGCAACTAGATACTTGGTTCAGCCCGCCAAACGCGAGAGGCTGGCGAACACTTTCCATATAGGAAAGTGCCCGCCACCCTTGGGATTCATTCGGCACTTGTGTAAGCGAGCGGCAGCCCTGCTGGAGCGTGAGCTCGTGGGCTGACTGCTTACTGCTAGGGGCAAGTGTGCACGCGTGTGCAGTCGTGCTAGAAGCAGGGCACTGCTGAGGGCAGCGCCATAGCCAGCCCTACATAGCCAGGGGCTTGGCTTGGATGTGTAGCTGGCGGGGTGGTGGTGGTCTTCGTGTATAAGGAAGAAGACGTGGGTGAAGAAGACGAGGAAGAGAGAGAGAGAGAGATGAGGATGGTGGTGTGAGGGCACGTAACTGGTCTTGGCAATGGTCTACAGGGTCGACATCTTCATGTACTTCGGTTGTTGCTGCTGATATCAACAGGTTGCATGTCAATTCGTAGGCTGGGTAGTAGCTGTGTGATCATAGTCTGTGCGCCGAGTGCCAAGTAGGAGGAAGGGCTCTGGATACATGCGTTGGTGCTGGCGAGAGTATGCTCTCATTGACATTTGGATTCGGTGCTTTCATTCTCCGTTGGTGGAATATCAGTGCACATCTGCTTTCTGGACAACGTTCGACTTTCTGGCTTTCAATGTGATTTTGCATTCTGGAATTCTGTCATTTCGCTATCGCTCATTTTCCTTGCACATTACAATACCTGCGCCATGCCCTCCCAGTAATGAGCTTAAATAATAAAATAATATTTATTTTAAATTATTTTCTAAATAAAATGAATAATAAATAGTGGATACATCATAAAGAGCATGCACCCCCCATGTGCAGCTTTATATTAAGTCAAACTCACGAGTCGAGACTGTATATGGTCCACGTTCATTGGACCATACATGGCATGTGAGTCATGATGTGACAATGATACCTACAATTATAAATAGTGGATAGTAGGATACACACATCATAAAGTGCATGCACCCACCATGTGCAGCTTTATAACGTCAAACTCATGAGTCGTGACTGTACATGGTCCAAGTTCATTGGACCATACATGGTATGAGAAGATGATACCTACCAATTTTCCCATTACCTTTTTTTTTTTTTTTTTTTTTTTTTTTTTT